ATTTTCATATCCTCCATGTGCAATTTTTTAAAGGCTTAGCAACCTATGTCATGCAGCAACTGAGTACAAAGGTTGTAACTAGAAGAGATAATTGTTTGCTTTACTTCTTTAATTACTGTTCTATGTTTTAGGAAAAATTTGTTTAAGAACTTGTTTCAAAATAGCAATAATCTATATACATATATAACTTATAATAATTGAAATGTGACTGTATTTTACAAAATACTGGTCTACTAAAACACAGCCAAGATAAGCTACTTTGCACAGACTAAAGGTCAGTCTTAAGTTATTTGATACGGTAACATGAGTTCACGTGATCTGCATTATTGTAACTTCTGTATTGTTAGCCAGGCACGACTGAAAGGTCAATATAATAAAAATAATAAATGTATAATGTTATGAGATTTAAGCTATTTAGTCTAAACTTTGTTTTTGTGTTATAATTTGTGTTCATTCTAGAATGAAAGAGGCATAATTGATATTTATTTCCTAATTTTTTATGGTAGTTGCGAGATTGGTCAAATCTAGAAACCGTACAGAGATTAATAACTGAAAATAATAGATAAAATATAAAGTCTTTTTCTTAAGAAACGTTTGATAACTATCTGGACATTATAAAGATTTGAGATGTGAAATTTCAAAATTTTCTGATGCATTAAAATATTTTTAATCTTAAAATGATCATTACTTTGCATGATAGGTAGGCAACATGTGAAGACAAAAAAAGACATTGCTTTGTAAACCTTAAGACTTAATTAAAATATTTGATGTTTTACGTATGAAAGTATTGTAATGTTTACTGATAATCTGCCAAATTTCGTTAACATTCGCTTACTAATATAAAAGTTATAGCACGAAAAATATAACAAGCACAAAATGGTTATGAGATCGGTCCCAAGGACTGAGTAATAGTACTGTTGCTTTAACCCTCAAGATGCTGCCTTGTTTTTATACCATTCACTACCATTAGGGTCCATATATTACATCATATTAAATAATTCTGTGTTTTTGCCTTTTACAACATTCATTTTAAAGAACAGACCAAACAAAATATGGTGAAGTTACTCATCTGTGTAAATTACATAGGGGACCCAGGAACATACCTAGACTTTTAAATCAGCAGGGTCATTAAGAAGGTCTGGAAGGTGAAGTTTGCAATAGCAACCGAGGGGCAGAGTCTCTGGTGTGGACAACAAGTTTGCATATTATTTTAGGACTATTACTTGGTAGATAGTAGTATGCAAAAATAGTGGCCACTAACTAAAAGCCAAATAATCGGAAATCATAAACAAATTTGATGCTGTGTATCTGCTTCAAACCAAATATTATAAATGGATAAGGCTGGAAATCAATTTGTAATATAGACTTAGATTTAAAACCATAAGTTAACTAATTTTTCAATAGAATTAGTCAAATTTGTTTAGTCTAAGACAGTTTGAATAAAATTAACAAAGGATAAATGTTTTCTTTCATCCAAACATTTAACTTTTGTTTTAGACAAATACCCCTCAACTGATGGAGAATGTTTAAACTTAATTAAAACAATGTAAGTTTAACAGCAATAATATATTTCAAAGTAATAAATTGAACATAAACTTTATCTCCAAATTTTAAAATTATAACAAAGCTTCTTTATAAACAACATTTGGAGTTTACTTTCCATCTACCAACAGATAAAGATTTTGAGGTGATCCCACCCTTGAACACACTACATCTCATTGACCATAAGAAAAGCATGGTTGTTTGAGAAACAATCCAGCAACTTTCATACTTTGACCTTGAATTCCTTTAGGATACTCAACACTGTCTAAAGCATCAATCTGCCAAGAGTGTTTGAGATTGACTCAATAGGCTGGGAGTAATTAACCAACAGGTTTTACAAAATAGAAATAAGGTTAACTTCAATTCTGACCCATGAGTGTCTGCATTCTGACCTATATAATGTTTTATAGGTTTAAATTGTAGCCACTTGAGAATAATATAAAAATATGTATATCATGTATAGTTCTACAGGTAGCTATTTAAGAAAGTCACTTAAATATTACTTAAAAAAATGTAGAATACAACAATCATTTTGGTCTGTAAAACAAATCAAGAAATAGATATGTGAAAAATTGTACTTTTTTCATTTTAAATTAACCGTAACATTATATTAATAGTGCACCACACTCACCATATAAATTGAGACCATATTAAGTGTAGTAGTTTTTGCTTGATATTCTAGTGTATTCCATTCAATAAAAAATGCAGTATGAGGTACAATAATTATAGTTTTTTTTTCTTTTTATATCATGGTATTTTCTTTCTTATCCAATATTCTGATATTGTCCAATTCAATCTGATGGTAATTATTCCTGGATTTTTGACGTAGCAGGTAGTAAGTTTCTCCACTCTTTTTCCTAATTCACATTCCAAACTCTGCAGTATATATTTCTTTTTATTCTGGTTATTGAAGTTTATCAAAAATATTGTTAAAAGTGTATAAAATTGAAAATTACAACATTTATAATGCTTTCAAAATCTTTATCTGGAAGTGTGTAGAAATATTACTTTTTTTGTTATTGAGTTTCTTATATTATCTGATTGCTCACGTTTTTTTGTTTTTTTTGGAAATTAATTTTTTTTTAAACAAATTTTATGATCTAAGTTGTGTCACAAAAACCTTAAGATGTTTCAGGTTTGTTTGATAAACTTAAGAATTGGAGGTTTTATTTGTATTTAGTGTTATAATAATATACATTTTAATGAGGAAAAGGTGATACCATCTTAAATATACACCACTGAAATTGTATCTTTGATAAGGAAAAGATTTATAAACAAAAATGATGCAATTAATGTTTTAATTATAAGCATGGAATTATAAATATTTGTGAAGGTCAACTTATGGATTATAACATATTAATCTAAATAGTTGTTAAATATTGAAATATATAACTTTAAATATCCTTTCTTGATAATCTTAACATCCAAAAGTGTAACATATAATGTTGTTAAATGTTTTTAAATGCTGTATTTCTTGTATTTTTCTTTAACTATTAAGCTTTGTATGATATACCTTGCTGAAAATTTATACAAATATTACACAAAATCACAAATTCATATAAGGAATATAAAACATCTTTGTATGAGAAATGATTAAACTAAAGGTATTTACTAATGTGTTTTAGTTAGTTCTTAAAGATACATTTTTCACTTAAATAGATCTACTTTACAGCTATTACACAGATGGCTATGAAAGTGATTCTACATTAGTGAGGAAAATGGGAAAATATCCTCCTTTAGGAACAAGACAACAAAGATACTGGTATCGAGATTTTCAACAAGAGGCTTCACCCAAAGAAAGATGTCAAGGTAGTCAACACTTATCATGGGTCTTTCTAAGTAGTTTCTTTTCCTAAACAAAATTTTTGATATTAATATATTGGATCAATCAATTTGTAGCTGTCAGTATAAGCTAGCTGAATTTGTCCTACTTATTAACAAAGATATAGTTGAGAAAGTTTTGTTTGTTTGAATAATTTTTTCTGTATTTACTGTAAGGTTCTTACAGATTTGGTGTGCACATCAGGTAAAATCAATGATCTACAATGAAAATGATTAAGCCTTTTGTCAGCCTTCTCCATAAAATTGTTTTACAGTAAAAGAAATATTGTTGATAGCAGATAATTTACATAATTGTTGACTGTCTTTTGGTACTTTAAAAATGTACATGTATTTATTTCAAATTTTGGTACTGTCAAACTTGTGAAAACTTTCACAGTTTTCATATGCTACATGTTCACAATATTATAGTCAATGTTATTATCTGATGCTATCTCTGTTAAAAAGTATACTGAAGAATTATTTCTATATTCCAAAATGTTATTAAAGTATTATTAATATGAATTTTTGGTATTACTTTTATATGCTATGCTTAGAGCAGGTGAGTTGCTTAAATCTCGCAACTTGTATCTTTGAATTTAAAAATGAATGCATGAATTATCACAGAGTAACCATTGTTTAGATTCATGTGCACGATACTTTCTGTTTGTTATACTGTAATTGTGAAATATTTCTTGTTTTGTGCACAGTAGTAACAGCATGCTCCATTTTTTTCTCATATCCCACTCAGTTAAGCTGTTGTTCACTGCATGTTACAATGTATGTTAATAAATTGATGTTCTTCTTCATGCACCTGAGGCACATTTTGGACAAGTGCACACACAGAAGCACTACCTTTACAAGAATTGCACTTGAGCACCTGCTGCATGCATCCATCTTAATGGTATGTTTTTACCTTGCCTATTGCACATTCTGGAAAACTTTAAAAAAAAAGCACAATTCACAACACTTGGCAAGAATGTAGTTCTTTATAAAATGCTAATAAATTTTGTTAATTTTAAAAACAAATGGAAATGCACAAACCTTATTGGGTGCAGTGGATTTAGTAGGTATGATTTTTATCATTTCTCAGGACTTCCAGTAATGTAACCTATGTAATGGTCGTATTTCTTCTATAAAACAAGAAGCGCACAATCTAAAGTATATCCTGAAAATTATGTTGGTCTTTATTTCTTTCATACTAATTAATTTTTCAATTCTTTATTCTTATACAATATTAATTTGTTTCATGCACTGGAATGCACTTAAGCTACATAGAATTATGTATATAAAAATATGTATGTAGTTATGCATTACTTTTTAACAGGAAACAGTCTGATAATTTGTTATAAGAGATACATTATGATTGGAATTTCTCAAAAAATACACAATTTTACAATTTTTATAACACTAAACTGAAAACAACCTTGCAAAATTATTATATTTTGTCTATGTATACTAACCAGATATGTTTGTCATGTGAAATTGTTGGTGTTATCCTTCCATTTGTGTTTTGTGCTTACAGAAGCTTTCACCACGACCTTTCATGTTAGTCTGGGAACCATCTTGACTCCTTCTGTTGTTGTGCCTTTGCAGAATCATAGTCAAATACACAGGTCACTTAACATAAATGAACAACATTCAGGCAATATATTGATTAATAAATCATCTTCATTAAAACCCTCTGTTAGGAACTTTGGCCAACCATTACATCATTCCTCACCAAAATCTGAAACAGTCGTATCAAAAAGAAAAGGTAAACAGCCATGCAAACAGATGTTACTAAAGGATAGACAGACTCCACAGCAGAGTGGTGTCAGTGAAGTTGTACCCAGCCCTCAGCCTCCTAGTAGGACATCATCTCGATGGAATCCTGTGCTTATAAAATGGTCCAAAGTGAAGCTTTCAGATCGAAAAAATCCTTGGCTACTTTCTGGGGATAAACCTCTAAAACCACAATCTAAAGAACCTGCATCAACAAAATCTTCAAAGTCTTTCTTTAAATCATCTGTATCTTTTGCTAAATCTACATCAGCAAATAATAGCCCATCATCATTATTTAGGAGAACACTATCTGTTGCTTCTAAAAAGCTGAAAAAACAACCAAAAGTCACTGAACTTCAAAAATCCATGAACAAAGCTTTAGAAGCATCTACCATACCTGAAGTGTATTCAAGTGATGTAACTAGTTCTGAAGAAATGCATATTGCTCATACTGACTCTGGTTTAACTCTTGAGAAGGAAACTACAAATAAAGAATGCACAGATAATGAAGGTAAAGTATTGCAGATTGTGTTAGATAAAAATAAAAACTCTGAGATTTCGGCAGCATGTGAAGTATCTGATAGCAGAAAAGAACTAAGTACAGGTATCACATGTAACAACAGAAATAATGAGGGATTATACTTGGGTAATGAAAATTTTGACATTAGTAAAGAAAGTCGGTCTACTTTCTCATCTGATCATACAGTATCATCCCAAAATGACTTAGGATATTCTGAGAAACAAAGTCCAATCTCAGAGTTAGACAACAGCTTTTCAAGTATTGAAACAGGATATCATAGTCTTATTGAAGGAGGGAACAAATCACCAAACCAAGGACAGCTAATCAGTTCATTGCAACTCTCTTGGACTGATAATGAAAACCAGGTACTGGGTGAAGAATCTGTTGCAAAAAAGAATGTGGATGATAGTTCTTTCATACAACAGAAAAATATTCCAGTAAAAGATAAGATTGATATGTCTTTGACTGTAAAAGACGGCCCATTCAAGCCTGAATCCTCACCATGCAGACCTTTAGACTTGATTTGTACATCTAAGGTCAAGGAATTGGCTAATAAACTGGATGTGTTCTTTAGTGGTGAACAAGGGCTCAAAATGCAGTCTCAGAAAAATGTCTCATCGATGAAACAAATTTATTTAGTTTCTGATGATGACCACAAATTCCTGAAGACTAACAGTAATTTACAAGCTACCAATTCAGAATTCACCTGTGAAAGGGATAAAGTAAACAAACAGATGTTCCCAACTATTAACCAGAAACTACAAGACATCAATGCATTATCAGACTTTGAAAAAGATGGAATAGATAAACAAAAACTTCTGGATATTGATCAGAATTTAGAAACCTTAAACGAAAGGCCAAGTAGTGGAAAGGTTAAAGTAGAATATGAACTGTACAAAAGTGACATGGATATCCACAAAATTATTCCATATTCAGATTGTGAAGAGCATGATGAAGAAAGACAAGACCTACCTGATACTGATCATGTAAAAGTTAAGACAGAGCTTGAATTTATGAATACTGACCCAAATTTGCAAACTACATGCACAAAATATAATTCAGGAAAAAATAAAACTGACAAACAAGAAACATTTATGGAAAATCTTATGCATAAAAGCCAAGAAAAAATTAATTTAGAAAAAGCAAAAGAAGCCAGACAACAACTAAATTTTGTGGGGTCAAATACCAGGGCCATTTCTTTTGAAAATAATTTGAAAAATGAAATTCATATAAACTTGAAAGGTGGAGGTGGTATTGAGATATTATCACCAAATCACAGAACAAAATCAGATATTCTAACCTTAAAGTCAGGTCTTGAAACAAACCAGAATAGTTTGGACCTTTCTCATGAATCAGGATCACCTCATGACAACAGTAGAACAGAAGGGTATCAAAAATATGTCTGTGGGATTGTAAAGTCTTTTCCAAAATCTGAACAATTCTTTAAGCTGAAAAAATTTTACACAAGTATTGAACATCTTGCTGAAAATGGAAAATCACAGTTTAATACACCAAGTAAAATAGAAATAAATACAAAGACTACTCAGATACCCAAGGAACTTGCAAGAACAAAACTAACCAGTTATGTACCATGGAAAGGAAAAGATGATCACATTTTGAAATTCAAAAAATCATCTGTTGAAAACTTAAAGAAATTGTTTGATAATCATGAAAAAAATAATCACTATGAAAATAATACCGGTCATTTTATTTCACCATTAATGGTGGCTCAAAAGGGAAAAAAAATTGTGAGAAGCAATTCAGTTGCTGATCTTGTTGCAAAGTACAATAGTATTGATGATTTGAAAAGAAAAGGAAATATAAAATACAACCATTCAGACAAGGAAGCCTCAACTTTTTTGAATCCAAAAGTTACTGAATGTATCAGTAATGGAAATAAATACACTACAGGATCACTTTGGACGAAGAAAGAGAATGTTAGTTCTTCTGTTTGTAGGTGGAGAGAACAGAGAATTACCCACTGGGTTTTAGAAACCTCAAAGGTTCAGAAACTTGAAAGTTCAGGAGAATCAAAAGAGAAGTTTAAGGTTTCTGCAAATGCTGATTTTTATAAAATACCATCTGGGTTTTATTCTCTTGGAGACTCTCAGACCTCAGAAGATATTACCAAAAGAAATGATAAGTCTTTAACTCATGCTGATAACAGTTTTGGAAGGGTAATTAAATCCACAGTTTTTCAAGAAGAGAAAAAGAGTAATAATGAAACAAAACTAGTTCAAGACAATAAACCTAAGTATTGTTCTAGTCTTGAGATTTTCTTGACTCCACAGAAAATAGTAACAGATAGAAGTAAATCTCCCGGACCTAGTGAATACTCTGCTCCACAGTCTCCACGTACTTGTTACTCTCTTAGTGGATCCATTGATGGAGAATTAAGCTCCCAGGGCAGTCATAATGATAGACAAAATGATTTTTTTCTTTTACTTCATCCTCCCTCTAGTGCAAGTGGAAGTCAAAGACCTGAAAGTCAGATGTCTTTTCAGAGTGAAACAAAGGGAACCTCCTCTAGTGAAACAGAAAGCACAACAATGTCAGTTAAGACTGATATATACTTAGAAACTGGCATTCACAATAAGAAAGAGTTCTATGAGAAATCAGCCTTTAAAGATAAAGAAAAGGCAGTCCAAAATTCCTACCATGTTCCACAAGTTACAAATAGAATTGTGTCAGAAAAGATGAAGTCTTTTGAATCTACTAATTTTCCAACTAGGCAAAGAATTTCAACTGTAAAAGAGGATAGCAAAATAGCCAATCCATTCCGTTCAAGAACAATTGGCTTACCTATATCTGTGTCTTCACATAAATTAGAAACTAAAGGGGGTGAGACTCTTGTCAATACAATTGTTGCAAATAAAAAGAACAACACTTCATTCCATAAGAATGATACAACAGTAACTGCAGAAATAAAGAAGAAAGAATATAATCCTCCAAGAAGAATTCTTTCTTGCTGTGATATAAGAGAAAGTGAACTAGGCTATGAACGACAAACATTATCATCAAAGAATCAAATCCCAAGAGATAATTATTTTCTTCCTCATTATATTCCTGAAAGAACAGTCTCTGAGTTTGATCTAAGTTTATCCATCAGTGGTGTTGAACCTTTCCAGAGAATGCATGAGAGGATTTGTAACATAAGCCAGTCACAAGATATTTGTAATGGTGGTATAACTCAAGGTGAAGGTGGAATTCAAAATCAAGATATAAATACTACTTTTGCTGAATCAACTAAAACATCAAAAGCTCTTTTGTTTGGGAATCATTTCATAAATGATAAAAGTTATAATTCGGATAACAAGAGTTCAAGACCAGGAATAGTGGGAAGTTTTTACTTGAAATATGTGAAGACTGGGGATGTGAAAAGGGTAAGACAAAAGTTTGAAAGCACAGGCAATTTGCATCTTTTATGTGGAAGGAAGCAGTTGAAGACATCCAACCAGAGAAATTTATCTAGAAATAATTTTTTCTGTAGTACATCTGAGATCAGTAATTTGACAGCAAAAAAATATGAGCAAATTGATAATCCAAACAAACAGAAAAAGAATAAAACAAATAAACAGAGAAAAAATGATATCAATGACACTTTCAAGGAAACTTTATATGGTGTACAGTGGAAGCCTTTGTCTCAATCAAGACAGACAGAATATGGAGTTAAGTGGACACCATCTACTGCATTAAGAAAGACTGAATATGGAGTTTATTGGCATCCAACATCATCTTCCAGATATTGTGGAAGGGCAGGATCAGTAAAGAAATTGTGCAGAAAGTTTGAGAGTATGGATAACATTGCTGTTGCGGGTTGGGCTTCCCCAGATAAATCTATCATTAAAGATAATCACGAAAAACCATTCTCTCTCTCAAATGATAAGTGTCACAAGTCTTCACCTCACATACCTATTTCTGATGAAATTTCAAACACAAAATCAAATAATAAAAACCAAATATCAACTTCTCTGTTAAGTGCATGTACAGACAACACATCTTCACTTGATGTACCCATTTTGATTAATAATCCAGTTACTTCAAAACTTAAGACTGCATCTAAATTTAAAAGTACGTTATCAGTAGTGAAAGATGATTATGACAGCACAGATCAAAACACAAGCCTCCCTTTTCATTTGTGTCAGAGTACGCCAGAGATTTCCAGTACAGATATCAATTGTTCAGATGTGTCATCCTCCTCTGAAATGTCTTGTGAACCTACAAAAATAACTGAGCTTCAAAAATGTAAAAAAGGTCACTCTAACACTCAGGGTATTGTAAAAGCAAAAGTAAAGTTTGGGGAACAAATATATTTAGCACATGATTCACACAATCGTGTAAAACATCTACTAAATAAGTATGAGAAACGTAAAGCTTTACAGAACTTAATTAACAGGTTTGAAAAGTTTCACTTGTTTCATTACCGTACTAAGAATTCTGAGCAAAACTTTGGTAAGAATAAGAAATTAGACTCACAAAACCAACAACAATCTGAAGGTAATTATTCAGAAGCACACAGTAATTGTATTCCAGAAAAACGAGTGCCTAGTCATTCATCTATGACAGACTCTCCCTCAGAATTAACAAACTGTAACTCTCATAAGTTGCAAGAGGTTGGCCAGCTCATGATTCAACCAACACTTAAGAAACAATACAACATCCTGTCACATAACCATTCCACAAACAGCACAGCAGGGGCTTCAAAACTTTTTGGTTTCAGTCAAGAGGCCCAGGATCTCAGCTTTCCCAAGAAAGGGCTTCCTGAACCCATGAGACAAACAGGCTCTACTAACCCTAACCAAGCTGTGAATGGCATGAAATCTAATGGAGGTAGCAGTGCATGCAGCCAAGGTTAACATCATACTAATTAGTTTACTTTGTTGTAAGATGATGTGTTGTATTTTTAAATAGTTTTGTGGTGTATAAGTGCAGGTTATATATATCTACTACATTGTCATAACCTTTTGGTGCAAAGTAAGCACTATTGCTGAAACATGTCACATTATTCAAAGACAGCAAATATTAGAAGGTCAAGAAAGTTTTTTATGTTCTTTGTTAGGCTATTAGCAGTATTAACTTAGCTGCCTAGCTGTTATATGCGATGTTAATTTGAGTGTAGTTTTAGCTTTGAAACTAGCTATTAATGTTAATGTTGTTTATTTTTGTATGTGGTTAATTTTGACTGGATATAAAACATATTTCATACAAAGTACATTAAGGAAATACTTTTATTACCCCAAAAATTCACACATGTATGTAAATATAATAGTTTTGTACCACATTTATAAATTAGATTTTTATACTGTAATGATGTTTTTGCTTTATAGATTTTGTGTGAAATGTCTGTCAGTACTTTTATAGCAATACTCATGTTTACAATAAGTTAAGATACTACAAATTTATATGCTCAAGTCATTAAATCCTTGGTAAGGTTATGTTTAAATGACTCTGATATAAAACTTTCATAGTTGTAATAAAGACCTGTGAATTTCTGTTTATGGAAATAATTTATATCATACCTTAAGCATTTTACTGAACTGTAGCATATAGAAAAGAAAGTATTAAATCATTTTCAAATTCAACAGAGAACTTAATGCTGGGATGTTTGTTTAGATATGTTAAAAATGAATTAGCCTGATCATTATTGTGAAGTAAAATAAGAATATCATCAACATATATTGTGTAATATAAAGGTTTTATTTAATTTATACAATTGGCCAAACATCGTCTTTTATAGTGAGATAGGAATATATTTTCTAGTTTTGGGACAAAGTAGGAACCCAAAACTACACCTTCTACCTGCTCATAGAATTCATTATTAAAAATGAAGTGGAATTCCTTTATACCAAATTCTATTAGTTTTTTGAAAATATGTTTTGGAATACCTTTGATAAGGTTGCTAGGACAGTTGTTTTCTCTTGTTGAATATTTGTAAATAAGGATTGCCATGAAAACACTAAGGAAAGCTAGTTTATCTAATTTGTTTAGAAAAACTAAAACTGTCATGTATTGTATATTCTGATGAAGAGAAATCCTTTAAGAAAGAGTTTAGGTAATTATTTAATTTGTAATTACAAATAAATGAAATGAGCATCAACTCTGAAGAATCTTACAAGCTGTTTTATTTGCACAATATTTTACCTTTGTACATTCCTGAAGGCGTAAAGTCAACTTCAAACAAATAAAACAACTTGTAAGGTTCTCTAGAGTCCACATTTGTTTTATTGATTTGTAATTATATTTACTATGCTTCAGTTGACATTAAGTAAATTAAAAAATGTAAATATATTTAATTTGTAATTAAAAGTAACAGTAGTGGACACAATATGTATCTCATAGTATATTTGCTTTATATATTTTCAGTAACTCTTAAAGAGTTCCAGGATGAGAGCTTTTAATTTACAAATAATTAGGAATAGATTCAGAGATTTTTCTTCTTTAACTTCAATAAGAACATTTATAACTTGGACTCTCTAATTTGAAGTTGGATATTTCTTACATTTTTGGAATTTAATGGGATCATTAAGAATGTGTTTTGCCTTGTTTATATACTCTATTCAACCAGAAATAAACGGTATGAAGAACTATTTTAACATATTAATTAAAATATAATTTCTAATAAAACATTTTAACTCTGGCATATATTTATAATATCCTGTAATCAAGTATTGGACAAAAACAAATATCAACCTAATGAGGGACCCATTAAAATTTTAAATCGGTGCTGTTACCAATATTTTTGGCCTTTTTCACAAGTAAAATAAAACATCCTCATTATTTTCACTTTAGCATGGCAGTACTAACAAATTCTAAGAATGAACTGTTATACACAAAAAGGAACTTATTGCAAATAAAAATTCATTGCTGAAAGATTTATTTTAAATATTATATTAATATGTTTTCATATATTGATGATTTTTCGTTTTTCCAAAACAATTTAATATTTTAATAAATACTAATGAAAAAAATCATTAACAATAGGAAAGAAAAAAAAAGGACATTAATTATAGGAACTTCTTTTATATATTTCAATTACATTGCATTATAAGATGACATTATCTAATTATAAGTGGGAAATATTATCACTGGCAACTCTGATACTATGAAATCTGTCTGTCATAGCTGTTTGATTCACCACTGAATACATCAATTTATATATAATAAGAGAATGGATATATACCTACATTTTTGTAATGATACAGAATAGAAAAACTTGTATTTTGCTTTTGGACATGTTATGCTATAGATGGTGAGAAATTTTAAAGAAACTATACTGTTGTTTATTAAGCTGTTCATAAAATATAAAAACTGCCATAAAAAACTGCATGAACAGGATAAATAAATAAACTTAAATTATAAAATAAAAACAAGAAATAGATGTTAACCATATAAAATTAAAAATATTAAGTTATAACCCAGAAAGAATGAAAAACATGTATGACAACTGAAAAGAAGCAAATTGTGCATTGACAGTTTCGTTTTAATAAAATTTAGTTGAAATAGCATAACAAACATTTAACTTTGAAATAAAAAAGTTTAATATCTTCTAGGAAAACATTATCTGGCTTAAAGTTTAAAAACTCTTAAAAACAAAAGAAATGAGTAAACTAAAAGAATTTCAGTATATAGTGGAAAGAATAAAGAAATGATATTTAAAATATAATATAAATGTTTTGAGATGAATCACTTTTCTTGAAAATAAAGTGAATTTAAAATAAATTAATGTGAATTGGAAACAGTAAAGATATACTGAAAATAATAAAATCAATATTACTTAAAATACATTTTGAAGGAAAGAGAGAAGAATGATATGTGTAAACATTAACTGGAAAGATAAAAATATATAAACTTAAAAAAAGTGAATTGATTGGACTGTACACAATTTACCCCAAAATATTTAAATTAAACTTAGAAATTGTTATTATTGTTGTAATGTAGGAATAATTTATAATATTTACTAAATTGCATAATGTTTAACATTTAACAGTTTTTACTTGGCAAAGATTTACTAATTGTTATGAAGTGTTTTAAAGTCTCCGGTTTGTTATTTCTATGTTTGTATAATTTTCATGCATTAGATATCTTTGGTACCCTTTTTGTTTAAACCGTAAATGGCTTATGTGTTGACACTCATAACTTGCTGCATATAAGATGAGAGGCACTAAGTATTGATAGAGGTTAAGAGTTTTGAACACTTTCCAAGAAAAAAAAAAGACATCAGAACTAAATACAACCACACCCATCTGGGTTTTGGACATATAAGTACAAATATTTGTTTCCCTCCAGGCCCAAGGGTGGACCTACAACTTGGCCTTGAGAGGGTGGGTACCATATTCATTTCAAACAGGAAATGCACTTGACATTTATGGCAGCAAGACCCTTTAATAGTAAAAAGAGGAAAGTAGCATGTTCATGCATGTACATTACTTTGTGTACTTTAAAAAGAGAGAGCCTCTTAAACATTTGTATATAAGCTTTATGTAGCAGTTTGTTTCATAACAAGTGTAAGCATTAGAACATGGCAGCCTCTGTGTGCTGGATAACCACTCATTATCACCAAGTCCTAAATAAACAATGGTCATGTGAGTCATTTCATGGTCTATAGTCTATACTCAGACTTTAGAACTAAGTTATGACCCCATTGAATCTCTAATATCAGGTTTCATATTTAATATAATCTACTTTTTTTTAAAGGATTTTGTATTTTTCTTTTGTTGTAAAAATGTACTTTTTAATGTTTGACTATAATTTTGATGTAAGTCTCACTTTTTTTTGTTTTTTTTTTTGTTTTCAAGATGAAAAACTTCATAATTATTTAATTAGGATAAAAATTGAGAATTTCGTAACTTTATAATAGCTTTATCATATGCGTTAATTCCTCTTCAATTTTGATTGGTAATAAGAAAATTTTTTAAATTTATTACTTTTAATGTAACCATCAAATTTTTCAAAATGTATATGTAGCTTTATAAAGCAGCATTATTTAAATTTACTTGTATATTTTAGATATATATTTGCATTTATAATGATAATCTGTTTAAAGAAATATGAACCAGAAAGAACATATAGCATATAAATGGAGTTAGAAAATACTGCTGCAAAATAGTATGTCAGAACAATAAGTTCACTGATATAGCTTGGTATATTGCTGTCATTCTTTAAGTAGCTTATTTTAGATTAGTAACCATGTAATCTAAATAAGTATTATATTTTTTTTAAATAGATTAAAAAAATTGAAAAGATTGGGAATTACATTAGTAAAACTTTCCATGACTCATCAGTTAGCTTAAGGACTTCTAACCCTAAAATTTGGAGCTTGATCTCTATGATGGGCACAATGCAGATAGCTCATTTTTAAATAAGTATAGCATGTTTCTGCTATATAATTGGTCTTTCAATAATATATTTTTATTTGTATCAAATGTTAGCAGAGCTAAACAAGAGATGATTGGTGTAACTATACAGTGATATGATTTTAAGTTAAGTATTGTCAATACCTAGAAGCAGTTACTTTTCTTATTTTAATTAAAGATATAATTAACCTTTAATGTTCTTTGTTCTCTTATTTTTGTGTTTCTTGTTCTAAATGCTTCAGTAGATTCTCCACACAACTCTCAGAACCTCGTGGTAGGACAAGCAAGCAAGCCAGTTAAGACTACCTTTGAAGATGATGAGGTAACTTATATTTAAGTTAAAGTTCAGGAAGTTATTGATATATATATTTATTTATTCATGTATGATGAATTCTTACAAAACATTATAACGTGTTGTAATGGGTAGGCTGCATTATCAGGTGAAATAAGATTATCCAGAATATAATGTTTCATAATTTTTAACAAAATTTTGTGAGAAATATGTGATTTTTTTATCGTGTTTGAAAAGTTTCTTTATATCTATGCATTGTTCCTAAATTGGTACTCTTGAGATCATGATGTTAATAAATAATATTAATACACATTTTTCCATCTTCGATATTACAGAACCATGAAAAAATTGTTTTTTAATAGCATGTATTTATATTTAAAGTTGAATCTTGTAATGGTCATTGAAATGTACCTACTTGCCTTTTAAACATGTTTATGTTTGTGCAAAAACAGTTGTTGTTCAAGTAATTGTTCCTCCTTGGGTCAGCAGTAAGTTTTAGGAATTAAAGGCTAAAATCTAGGGTTGTATTACCTGCAGTTAGCCTACTGCGTAGCTTCTTGCTTAAAAACAACATTGTATGCAAAAAAAAAATTGAATTTTTCACAGACTAATTTGAAATTAAGTAACATATAACTTTTAGCTGATCCTCAGCAAAAATTCATAACCACATAATTTCAGTAGTTCTTGTAATAGGTTTTACAACTGAAATTACTTACAACTGAAATTACTTACTTTTGTTTATTTTAGCTAAAAAAACATCAGGAGGAGGAAAGGCAGAGAAAACTTATTACAGAGTTGGAAATGAGGAGGCATACAGATAATTTCATGTATGTTGAAAATATTTCTCTCTTAGTTTCTGCAGTCTAGATCTGTAAAAAAAAAAAACAACTCTCTGTCAAAATGACTTAGTTTTTCAAAATTTTGTAAAATATCGGACTATTTTCATGAATATTTTACATGTAACAGTATAGTTGCAACAGCCAAGTCTGTATGATATAGTGTGTTGAATTAAAGTAATATTCTTTAACTTACAGAGTAAAGCTTTAAAACTACATACTATCATTTTTGAAATATTCTTTTGTAGAAATGTTATTCACTGAATGGGCATACAACAGTTTTATCTACCTTTATATGTAAAGAAACAGCTAGTTATTAAACTTACAATAATTCATGTTATTTTGATTATTTATATATTTTTTTTTTGCAGGCCATCACAGAAATCTCCAATACCTTTAGATCGATACGACAACCCATATGAACCCCAAGCTACCCCACCTCCTAAGACTCCTGAGGTTCGTAATATGGCAAAGGTGCTCTACAACTTCACAGCTCAAACACCAAGGTAAAATTCACATTTGATTTTTGTATTTATTTGATATTTCATTCAACAGGAAAGTGTGTAAGCCTTGAATAGTAAATGTCTAGTATAAAGTATACGTATATCATGCAATGAAGTTACAGTTAAATTATGTACAAGTCATTTGAGTCAAGCAACTATTGTATATTAAATGTCATGTCATCTAAAGCTAGGCAAAAACGTTTTCAAGCTCCTTAAACCTATAAATCACAGATTACTATGTTGGTGAGTAGGAACTAATGTAAGAGGAGATTTTAATAGGTGAATAACGTGACATTTTAAACAAATATTGGCACTGCAGATAGATAACTTGTGATCTTGATAGTTATAAGTAATCATTTGTGAAACATGTATATTAATTTATATAAACAAAAAGAACCCATGATGTATTCAAAGTAGTAATCCTGGTGTGGTCATTAAATTAATGGTTTGTTTTATTAGCTCTTCACATTTTAAATTAAAACACTTGGACTTGGATAATTTTTTGTTTAATATTTAAATATACCATTTAATGCAGAATGTATCATAACTATCTTTATCAAAACATACTCGCATAAATAGATCAAAAATAGAAAGCTCACTTTACCTTTCTTTCAAGGGCAAAGTAAGTTTGACATTTCAATTAAATACTTTTAGACATTTTTTGCATTTTGTAGCTTTATGCATAGTATATGATGAAATCATCAAAATTGACATCAATGACTCTGCATCGATAGCACTAATTTCTTATTCTAATTTTAATACTTGCCATAAAAATAGCAGTTCACATTGGGTAACTACAAATATTAAAGCTTATTTCATTGTTGTTTTTCAACTAAAAACAATATCTTTCAAGGTTTGTCTTTCACAATAGATTATTTATGTGAAAAAATGGGTTTGTATATAACATTCTGTTAAATTATTGTATAGTAATGAAAAAATTATACTTTATGTCTTTGTATGTCTTAACAAAACACAGATAAATTGTATAATTGATTCAAGTTTTTTAAGTTTTTATGCATGTCTATTTGTGTAACTTACAGAGAGCTATCCTTGAATAAAGGAGATATTGTGTATGTGACCAAGGAAATTGACAAGAATTGGTATCAAGGTGAACATCATGGAATGATTGGTATTTTTCCCATCAAATATGTCGAGGTAAGATTGTGGGCTGTCTGATCTGTGTCCAGAATTTTAGCATTATAAGCCTTCAAGCTTATCACTTAGCCACCAAGGACCAGACTGGCTATAACTTTTGTAATTATTTTCCCTTTAAATATGCAAATATGCGAAAGTTAATTTATGTTTTTCATTTAAACTTCCAGTACAAGTAGATTTTATAGTTACCTTTATTATTAAATTATTTACCATTATTTTATACAGATTGTTTTTTAAAGCATGTATATTTATTAATTTCAATGTAATGTTTGTTATAAAAAAAATTGAATGTAGGGAGTGCCAATAATATCAGATAAATACATTCCAAAAAAATGATTTTTAAGAAGACCCTTAAGTTAATTAAACTGAATATGTTTTAACATAAATTGGATTTTGAACTCAATCTAAGTATATGTAAGGAGAGAGAGTTAATGTTCATAATTACTAAAATCTTGTAAATGTTATGTTAACAAAATCTGATGATTTTTAAAGATGATTTAATTAAGATTTTTACAAAAAGTTACATAAACTTAAGTCATAAGTCATTTGTTCATTTCATGTTGTCATAATAAAACAAATAATTACTAGATAATCAAGCTTAATTCAAATTACATGTTTCTCAGAGTTTGCTGAATAGTTTAACAGTTCTACAAGACTGAGATACACTATACTTTTAGATTGGTCTAATGCAGTTATTAGACAGCCATAGGTAAAATTGTCCTAAAACATTGTAAGGTAATTAACTGATGTTGTCTTCAATGATTACTAGCTTGTCAGATAGGGCATAATTGGAGCTGAATTAAAAGTTTATGAAATTGCCATGCAACCTTTACGTCTACTTTTTTTTGGTTCAGATCATCCCACCAGAAAATGCTCATCTTCAGCCTCGAAAAGCCACAGAAGGTGAAGCAAGAGCAAAGTATAACTTCCGAGCCCAGACATCTGTGGAACTGTCTGTATTCAAGGTATGTTACTACACAAGTTTAATATAAAATTTCATTTGCTCCTCATGGTTATTACTGCACCTTAGTGGTTGTCTATTATAGATGTATGAAAAACTGTGCATATTATCTTTCATGTACGATTATAATATTAATAGGGTTAATCACCTCCTACTTGTTGCTTAACATAGATTAAATTTCACAAACAACTTGAAACAAGTCATACATGGATTGATGGATGCAAGAGTGAACAATAAAAAAGGATGCCAGCATGTGTAAGTTAGTAAAGCTACTCCTCTTTAAAGAGTGCATTCAAACTTGTTAAAATGTAAAATAATTTATAATTAGGTCAAATGATCCAGTTGCTAATGTAAAGATAATAGAAAGATGAGAGTTGTCGACCTTATAATTCTTGGGTCATAATTCTTCCTAAATTTATATAGACACTCATTGTGAATGACCAAGATAACATAGTGATTGTAGTTTTCCAAACTTAGTAAATTAAGTAGAATGCTGTAGTCATACATAAAGGGTAAAATTAATCTTAAGGACACACATGAGTCAAAGATATTATATCTTTGTAGAAACATTTACCATTTGATTAACCATGGCATTAGTTTTGCATAAAGGGCCAATGGTAGGATCAGTCAGGATCAAATTCATTTTTTGTAGTCATGCATTAAAGCCAAAAATTATCAAAGTTTTATTTGTTGTTCTAATTATTGTAACCTCTTAGTATTATTTGTTGCAATTTAAAATATGTTTTTTATTTTGAATACCATACCAACCAAGTCATTACTCATCTTACAGTAAGGTTTACCAAGTGTTTACCTTCAGGATGGATATGAATTGTAATATTTTTACTGTTACCACGAATTTTAATGAGAAACCTAGCATCTAAGTACTTCTGTTAGGTTGGTGTCCAAAACAGCCTTTTTTAATTCAATATTTTAGGGTGAAACTGTAATCCTGACTGGAAAAGTGGATCAAAACTGGTATGAAGGAAGAATTGGGAGTAAAAAGGGCATTGTACCATCAGCATATTTGGAAGTACTCCGTGAGCCTGAAGAAATGCGTAAGTTTTACTCTATAGGTACCTTGTTTTAAAAACATTAACACACAAATGATATGTATCTGGATCTCTGACATTAAGTTTATTTAACTTAAATGGTACTTACAGAAAGATTGATCAAAATCTTAAAATATCCTGATTTTATAGATTCATGTATTATTTATCAGCCTTAAAATATTTGACATAAAATGTGTTGATTACATCAAGAGCAGTTTTTATTAAGCAACTTAATTGAACTGTAAAAATGAATAGGTTTAGCATTTTATAAAGAAGGTACAGTATGTAAGATTTTTAATGGATTTTATCTGTAGAAGTCTTGTATCTAACTCATAATTAGTTATATAAAGCATTTTTTCTCAAGCTCAAGCCATTATCAAATTGTTATGTGTGTTGGGAGCCTCACAAACAAGAATCTTGTCACAAATTCCTACCTCATCACAACTCATGGAATACTGATATCTAGTTTTTCTTTAATATATAGAGACTTGTAATATATAATATATTGACTTATGGACTTAGTGACAACCAACGTGCGTTGGCGATTGTTGTACGTAAACTGATTTTCTTCAATTGTTTAAAAAAAAAAGAAGTATATAGTAAGAAATACTCCTTAAGCAGGCCACAAAAAATGTATGATCTATAAACGTCTAATTGAAAAATAATGGATATATATACAGCTCAATGGTGGAGGGGGTGGGGGAAGGATGGGCAAATTAATTGTCCGACTGTCTTTTTTTTAGGTCTGTTGGGAAATCATCATTGTGTGAGGTAAATAAAAGAAAGAAATAAGAACAAAGGAGAAAATGTACAAAATTTTTTTGAAGGGGTCTCAGAAGTTTTTCTATTCAATCAAATAAATACATATAACATGCTTAGCACATATATTTGTTGATATAGGTCTAAGTACAATGTAATTGGCATGAATGCACGAGTATGAACTACTTGTTTTCAGAATTTTATGCTTGATAAGAATGAAAAAGCCTGTCTCCATAGCCTTGGTTGTTAACTCTACCCATCTTCTGAATATCTTCTTTTCCCATCAAAGTATTAAGCATAATAATGTGGTATATTCAGGTCAAATTAATTTCCCTTAAGTTATGGGATAGATCCACAGAATACAGGAGATTCAACAAGATAGTTATTATAAAGTAATTTTCAGTTTTTATTAATGAAAACAATCAAAGTTTGATAAGTTCATAGGGTGAAGGACAGTGCCTTCACTTGGTAGTTAACTTTTAAAGCTTTCCTAAAGAGGTTTATTAAGAACTATTTAATGTTACAGGTTAAACTTTTGGAGAATGTTACTATTCACAGAAAGAGTTAAACTTCATTTACCAAACTTGGGGCTTGAGCTTAAAAGAGAAAGAGAGCTAATTAATAGATCATAGTATTATATACCAAATTATATAATACTATTAATTCAGAAAAAGCTAAAATAAGAAAGAAAAAATATATCATTTAAAAAACAACGTTGTGCTACTGTTAATATGACATTATCAGATACAGAAACAACATGTACCTCCCAGACCTTATTGTATCCACTAGAGGAGCATTTATTTATAACCTAGGTAAATTTTTAGCTTGGATATTGAAACCATATGCATTACAGGGAAAATGTGTTATGAAAATACAGAATATTTTACCAAGTTATTAGGTACATTCAATCCTTGTAGTTTTTTAGTTAGTTATGATGTTGTTCATTATTTATGCAAGTACCAATCAATGAATCTATTGATTGTTCTCTACCTTGCTATATACAAGATGAAAATCTAAGAACACAACTTCCTGCAGATTTTTTTAAATGAATGTTAATTTTTACAACAACACAAATTGTGTTTCAATTTAATGAAGTATTTTATGAACAGATTGAGGACTAAGTATGGGCAGTTCATTAGCACCTATTCTAGCTACTATCTTTATGAACAGGCTTGATTATAAACTTAAAAGTATGGTTAATCTAGGGTTATGCTTCTTTATGAGATATGTTGATGATACATTTGCTTGCTTTATATCTGGAGAAATGGTTGAACTGTTTTTAGTATTTTTTAATTCACTACACCTTAATATTAAATTTGCTTATGAGAATGAGAAGGAGGGTGAGTTATCTTTTTTCAATGTCATGGTTAGTAGGGTTAATAATGGTTTTAAAACAAAGGTATTTAGAAAAGAAACACATACTGATCTTTACTTGAATTGGTCATCAGCTCATCACAAATCTAAAAAAATAGGGATTATTAAAAACTTTATTGGCTATTGCAAAAACTAATTGCAGTTTAAAGGAAGAACTGGATAAGGAACTACATTATCTGGAAAATGTACTGATAGGTTGACTGAAAAAAAAGAAAATTAATTCCGATGATTTGGTTTATTGTGTAATTCCTTATGTATCTGTCTTATCAAACATGATAAAAAGACTGTGGAAAGAAACAGAAAGGATATAAAAACTTCTAATTTTAGATAAATTAATTTTTTTAACAAGGAAAAAATTGAATATAATTTTCAAAAATGGAATTAAACCAACTAGTGTTGAGAAAAGTGGTTTACAGTGTAGAATGTATGGGCTGTTAAAAATTTCTATAGAGGGAGATCAGTAGGAATTTAAGTACTAGAATAACGGAACATGGACATGTTTTAAAGATACAAAACATTGTAGTGAAAATAAAATTCTTATAATTATTTGTCGAGAACCTAATATTAATAAATGTAAAATAAAAGAAGCCATTTTAATAGAGGAATACAAATCTTCAATAAATACAACACAAGGAATAAGTTCAAGGTTATGTTTGTGACGTTATCAATTCCAATTGGATCTTTTTTAACTGTCGTGTACAATTGTGATGAGAACCTGATGATGCCACATTAACTCTGGGGAAATATTGTTTTTAAAGGATATATTTTTTCAATCCCATTTTAGCTGTTTTCTGAATTTTAAAATTGTGTAGTGTGGGATACCAACAATATTTATATGTAATACTATATTTTCAGGACATGTGTATCACTTTTGGTCAATCTTAATGAAACATAAGGGAGGTTATAACTTTGAGTTATTACCTGACCTACCACTGGAAGACGCAGCTATCTACATCCTTGCACAATATAATATGACATTAAAGTCATACCTGTGTTATATACCAGAAAATAACAAAGGAACAAATCCAATTTAACAAGTTTCTTAACCATGCATTATGTGATAACTGTACATACAAGAATAACAAACTAATTCCAAAAAATATCTTAATAGTGTAAGAAAATAGAAAATGTTTGGTATTGTTTGAAGTTTTTACACTAATACGTTAATATTATTGCATGTAGTATGTATGCAGTACATATTTCAAATCTAATGAGTGTGTGGAGGTTCTTGATATTTTTAGAAGCTGTATGCTTCCAATGATTCAAGAATTGTTGTTGAAATTATAAATAGGCCTGCTGACCAACATATAACAAGATCAACAAAAGCATTCAATCTACAAAACATATTGCTCTTATGGCAAGTTCAGAGAAAAAATAATCCATACCGAATACACAACTTAAAGTTAGACTTTTATTGAGCTAACAATATGTGAGCAAAAAATAATCCATACTGAATACACAACTTAAAGTTAGACTTTTATTGAGCTAACAATATGTGAGCAAAAAATAATCCATACTGAATACACAACTTAAAGTTAGACTTTTATTGAGCTAACAATATGTGAGCATGTATCATCAACTGACCAATTAAGGGCCATGGCAGGCAACACAAGAAACATTGAAGCGATGTGGAATTCAACATTTGCCAAAATTAAATAGATATATCTATGTGTTAAAATATATTGATTACCTGTCTGTGTATTCAACACATTTTCTTGTCATATCTTTGTTAAGTTTCGGAAGTTTTTATTTTATTTTTCCAGAAATGATTATCAGCCATAATGAAGATGATAATTTTAATTTATGGAATGTAGCAAACATTTGTTTAGCTCTGAATTCATTCTGCTGGCTAGCCACTTATTTTATAATTGTGATCTAAATATTTCTTTATTAAAATATCAAATAGAATGAATAATTTTTTATCATTCTGCAGAAAGTTTTATCATGGATACATGCAGGTGGATATATTTTTGCACCCAACCATACAATTGTTTGTTTGTATTAAGCACAAAGCTACACAATGGGCTATCTGTGCTGTGCCCACCATTGGTATCAAAACCTGGTTTCTAGCATTATAAATCCACAGACTTACCATTCAACCATACATATTCAAAGTATAATCTTTACTGATCACCATATAAGTATATTACAGGCCAATAGTAGATAGCATTTATTTATAAAGAATCATGTAAAAACTTTTTCATTTCTTTTGTCATACTAATTGTCTATGAGACAAGGAAGTTATTCTAATGCTTAACCAATTTTTAGTAAAATATATTTTTTATTTAAACTCAGATTTATAATAGTGTTGTTTTGGTAATATTTCTAGGTTCAGTATCAGTCTCTCCAAAATCTCCAAGACCTCCAGCAAGTCCTATACAGTAAGTAGGAAATATACATAATTTTGAGAAATTTTTTTGTGTGTGAAGTATTATGTAACTACAAATTTGTGAGACATTAGTTACCCTTAAGAAATGGAAAATAACTTATACTAAAAACTTTGCATTTAGTTTAATTTTTATCCTTCTCTAAGTCATATTTTAGAATCTAATCTCACCATTGACAAAAATGTGTCTTAATCTTTATTTTACATACACTAATTGCCAATTTATATTGTTGTTATTCAGTTGGAAGTTTATTAGGTTGTTCTTTGAGGAATTATGGGATTTTTTAGTGCATTTTTGAGGAGTGATTTCATGCACATGTGCATGATTTTCATATTTTATATAATGGATTTTACTTGAATAGTGGCAGATTATATAAAGGTTTATTAAGGCAAATATTCTTGATAAAGTTTGAAAAACTACAAGTATTCATAGTGTAACAACTCACTTAGTATGTTATAATATCCACAGTTCTCTCAAAACTATGATGAAGTTTCATTGTTATGAGGTTTTAAACTGATAACATGTTTCAAAATAATCACAATTTGAACTAGGTATACTTTATAGTTCCTTCAGCAGCAAAGACTTGATGGGATTAAACAGTGAGCCTTGCCTTTATTATAACTTCTAATCTTAAACCATATTTGAAAATTAAAACAGCAATATACCCCATGAAGTGCTTCCTTCATATCCTGTGGGGTCAGGCATGGCCTATTTGTGTTAGTGTGCTCTTACAATGAATCCAAGTTTTCACATATCATAACTACCAGAAATACTGTCCACACTATGGGCTGTGAGTGTGCTATAAAAGTGATGGTCAAATTCCATTATTTGATTAGACAACAGTGGCCCAAGAGTTGGCAGTGGGCACTGTTGACTGGCTACCTTCCCTCTAGTCAATCACATCAAAATATGGGATAGCTATATGCCCTTGTGTAGCTTCGCGTAAAGATTCTAAACAAACAAACGAAAGAAAAATGATCATTTACTCCAGATAAATAAGAATTTATTTTTCCTACCATTTAACTTTTACAAGTTCTGAACAATATGTGGCTTCTAAATATGAAGTGTATCATGCTTCAAATGGAAACTTTTGAAAATTTGTGAAATAATTTTTATCCTCAACCATTTTTTTGGACTAGTTTTTCCATTGATAGTTATTTATTCATTTTTTTTTTAAATTATCTTTTAAATATATTTATGATCTCTCACCTTTCTCTGCCGGTTACTAGTGTCCCAATTACAAATGGTACTGTAAGTTCTCGTCAGACTCCCAACTACCAAAGTGACAAAAACCTGTACCTAGAAGCTCAGGCTGCATCTTTACCAAAGGTAAGAATGTTTTTACATGTGATATATTTTAAGTATTATTTCTCATAGTAGGTTTTGCAGGCCAGAGTACTCTTTATTATACATTCTTGCTAAAGTTAACATGCTATAACATTTTAATTGTAAGTAATTCATAAACGGGAGGGAATCCTCAATAGCCGTGGCTGTAATTAGATCACAAATTGGTCAAGAGATGGAGCTATGAGCTAAAAGTTTTTACTTGTAAAAAAAAATGAGCCATTCTATGAGCCACTTTTTATTTATTATTTATACTTAATGCAGATTTAATTTATAGGTTATGATAAAGTGCCTGACCTAGGTGATTACTTTATGGACTATTTTGTATGTAACTTATTGTTTTTTGTAGACATAAAAGTTGTTTAAAAGTATTATGTATTTCTCATTTGTATTATTTGGACATAATGTTTTATATCTAGTTGTAATATATTACTTATTTGTATACTTAGTACATGAAAAATATTACTGTACCCTACAGCTTCTAAAGAAATAAATTTTGTAATCTTTTTGAAAGAAATTAAGGGACATCATGAAACTTTCTTTGATAGATTGTTTAGACAGAGTATTCATGATGAAACATAGTTGAATGGACGGCAACTGCCTGTTATAGAAACACAAGTGTGGAGGATGACGTTTTGAATGTTTTTCGCCTTTCGTCCTCTATACTTGTGTTTCTACAACAGGCAGTTGCTGTCCATTCAACTAAGTTTCATCATCATGAGACCTTTTTGGGCCATCAGGGATGTCCTAACTCCCAGCCTCCCTTAATAAGCTTTTCATTAAATCCAACCTTGATCCCCTAAATATTAGTCAACCCTCTTCTTATACCCCTGTTCAATTATTTAATATTTTTTGTTAGCAAAGCTGCTAAAATTCTACAATAATAATTGCAATTAATAATAAATATCATTATTTATAAGTAACAAGCAAACTACAAAAAGTTTCCATGACCACTCTGTTCTAGGTCATCAGTAGAGTACCCTCACTACTAACAGTGTTTTGGGTCCTTAACCCAAGACACCTAATGAAACTTGGTCTGCTTAGCAAAATTACCAAATACCATAGTAAAATTGTCACGTGTAAAGCTTCATGTACTATGTCTATCACATTTGACCAATGTAGTTATTACTATTTAAGAAATTTAATGTTATATAATAAATTTAGTTAATGTTATAAATAACTAAAATGCATATTTAATTATTCAAATTTAATATTGTAAATAACTAAAATGCATATTTAATTATTTAAATTTAATATTGTAAAGTAGTATAAGTTACAGAAACACATAGAAACTTACATCTTATTTAGATTGTGGAAAGTTCCACTTGGATTCGTACAGAATAATAACACAGTGTGTGTCAATATATAGCTGTTAGCGTATTTGGTCTAATTCTACACATTTCAGTCCACCATGGTGTTGTAAGGGGAATTTGCTAATGAATGCTTAATGGCCAGTCTTAACAGTTACTAGGTACATAAATAATTTTAAAGTATCAGTGTACATTGCATAAGAAACATAGGAGTTTCATATAACAAAGCCCTAATCTCTTTCAGAATATTATTTTCTCTTTGAAATTATAGGTCAGTTATATTTTGTTTAGCTTATCTTTTAAGTATGTTGATGTGTGGGTGGGTCTATATATTTATATATATATATATATATATGTGTGTGTGTGTGTGTGTGTGTGTGTGTGTGTGTGTAGTAGTAAA